GAGGGGGAGAGGGAGGGGGAGGGAGAGAGGGGGAGAGGGGGAGAGGGAGGGGGGAGAGGGAGGGAGAGAGAGAGAGAGCTTTAGAAAGATCACTGAAAACATGCAGGATTCAAATAGTCAAAGTAACATGAATTTAACATTTAAAGTAAATTATTTTTAGTTCTCTTTTGTGGAGATAAATTTTGCAGTTCTTCTATGGCCAATAATTAATCTCAGGTCACCATCCTCTAGGAATAAAAACTCATTTGATCCGAGTATCGAACATGTAGATGTCTGTAAGACTAATCTAGTTTGCAAACTTAAAAAGTACATTAGGGCAAACATCTGTGTCATTTTGTACAAAAATTTAAGGGTTTAAGCAAGAGCACAGTGACCCCAGAACCAACCTCAAGAAAGCCAACTGATTTAACAAAACAGCCTCTGGTTCAGAACCTGGCTCTTGTTTTGAGGCGCAAATTCTTAACAAGACTGTAAACTACCTCTTGATGATGACCTTCCCCTCTGTGGGCAAAAGAAAACCCCCAAATATTCTGCTACTGCTAATTTTTTAATGCTGCAAATGGATAAATCAGAATAAAGTTAAAATCTAAAACCATCACATTAAGCTGTGACTACACACTGGAGCTATTACAATTTCAGCTTTAGGGACATAGATTATTTTCTGAGCCAGAGCTTTATTTCCATGAGAAATAAGTTCTACAGTTTTTTCTCAGGTTTGACTGCCTGATAGATTTTTCTAAATGTTAAAAAAAATTGGGATTTAAATTGTACTATTTCATACATGGTGGACCATCTTGAGGATCCCCGGAGTTACCTTTTCTAGGATGGTATGGTGAAAGGAGGTTGGGATTTATTGTAAAAATAAACAAAACAAAACAAAACAATACAGTTCAAGTTCAAGCCTCATTTCAATTGGCTGTAAAACCTTGGTCAAGTCACAGTTACATTAAGTCTTGGTCTCTTCATCTACAAAAGTAAACACTGAACTCTATCTCATAGGGTTACCAGGGTTAGGTAAGGAGTGAGAATGCTTGGTAAAATGTAAAGTAGTATAAGAACACCATCTATTATTATTTCGTAGAAGCCAGGTTACTAATTTTTTTCTAGAGAAAAAAACCACAGTTCTCTAGGTTTAAAATTGTACCACAACATCTTATCATACAGTATTATTAGATGTTTGCTCCATTTGGCCTTAATTGTCTAAAATAAGTTAAGATGGCACAAAGTATTACACCCGCACTAAAGGAGCTGAACACCACTGTCAGGTGGCCTTTCCATGGTCCACATGTAGTGGAAGAGGTATCAGCAGTGGTAGCTGTGAGAGGATTTTAATAAATGCCATAAGGTGCTTCTCCTGTTATGGACAATTTCTGATGTACACTGAGGAAGAAATTTCATCCTCATCAGCTTGTCTTCTTAATGTATTCTTAGCTCCTGGCATGGTGCTCAGTATATAATATGTGCTTAACACAAGTTTGTTGAATCAAACGGTCTGCGAGATATAGCAGAGGGGTTAATCTAACAAGTTGGGGTGGAAAAGGGGCATGGAGAAAAATGTCCGAAGGAGAAAGCCTCCCTGGGGCAATGAGGCTCTGCTTGAAAGTAAGTCATTCATGGCCACAGGCATCCTGAGGCAGGATGAGGGCCTTGCCCAGCCAGGGAGAGAGTAGGTTGAGGGCAGAGAAGCCTAGGGCAAAGCCCAGTTGGTGCAGACTCTGTAGGCATCCACAGCTGTACTGTGGAACGTAACAGTCATTGTGTGACTAGGACTGGGCATGAGGCTAGACTGGGCAGGAGAGCCTGGGACCAGAAGGTCAACCAGACCAACAAAAGGAGTGCGCCCTGGCTGATTCTTATTTCCAGAGTCACTAGCCCAAAGAGGCTTGGGTGGAGACCAGGATGCCTACGGCCTGCCCTCGTGTGGGTGGACCTGAGAGATCACAGTCCTGAGAGACAGGGACATGGGAAGCAGGAGAGAAGAGTGCAGGCGAGCTCATCCAGCAGTCAGGGGAGCGGGGGAAAGTGTGCCCAGGCGGGGCCAGGTGCGATGGTTAAAAGGAACTGCCGTGGATGTCCTGATGAGGCCAAGAGAAGAGTCTCCTGCCCAGCAGTGCAGAGCAATGCATGGCTGTGCAAGGGCAAGGACATGGGGAGAGAGGAACGCTACGGGTGGAGCGGTAGCGGCAGCGGTGGTAGCGGTGGTGGAGGCAGCGGCAGCAGCATGTAAGGCAAAAGCCCTCGAAAGTGGACTTAGGTAATGCAGAGGGAGTCTGAGGAGCCCTGCAGCCAGCATACTGCTAGAGACATTACTACCAGCAGAAAACGACGTTCAGGTGAAGACCAGTGTGGAACCCAAGGAGAGGATGTCGAAGACCAGGACCAGGATTGAGACTTTGCCTCTAGCCACCCCTGGCCAGAAGATTTTTCCAATCCCTAGTAAGGAGGGATTAGTAGTTAAACAAAAATCAATCTGTGTTACACATCACATATTTAGTTCTATATAGGTCCAAGTTAATTGTTAAGTAAACTATGGTGTTCACTCTACTGTTGCTCTCCTCCCTAGCCCCTTAACCAGATCCTGTAGTGGTTTCCAAGTTCTGAGTTCCAGAATCCCATCAGGCCCCAGGTCACACAGACTCTATGCAGGTTCTGTCCTCGCTTAGGGGATGGCTAGGGGACCAAGTCTCATATGGTGGCCCTTAAACAGGGACTTGCCCTGCCTGGGATAGACAGGTAAGGCTCCTGATGAAACAGAACCTGCTTCAGGGGAGCTGGCCTACCACTTCAGCAGGAGGTGTACTAATTCTATTTCTAAGTGATAATGGATTTTTGGTACAGATTAGTCTTAGAAATGGCAGACCTGGGAGTCACAAGGGTACCCACATGCCTCTCCTATAACCTCCCCTGATTTCTACAACTCCCCAATCCTTCCAATCAAGCTTTAAATCCCACTTCTACTTGGTCTGTGCTCAGAGATGAAAAAACAGCTTGTCAGCATTTTTGATGCAGAGCCTTCGGCTTGCTCTTTTCAAGTTTAATAATTCCTATCGCTTTTTGTGGAAGACACATATTCAAACCATTTAATCATCTCTGCATCTGGCTCACCTTTGAGTCCTCTCCAAGGTCTCCTTATCTCTCCTAGTTTTAGCTTAGGGTCAGGCATCAGCCTCAGGTAAGGAGATGGCAGAGGCTGAGAGCCTCCTTGGGTCTCCATCCCTGCTCCCTCTGACATCTGGGCTCGCTCTCGCTTGCTTTCATAAAGTTAGTGCTGTGTTTCAGACCCAGGCCCCAGGATGAGTTTCTCACTGGTGATTAACATGAGAGGCTGACGGAGGCTCTGATGGCCCAGCATGAGCTGTACCAAGAGAGAAAAGGTGGCTGTGGTGATAACAATGTGCCAGAGTCTCATCCTGAGGTCAGAAGGCTGTAGGATTTCTGGCAGCCACAGACCCAATCAGGTACTTTATTGAACATCTAAGTATAATAAACCTCTTAAGAGAATAATTTCTGCTTCTTAACTACATGGTGTGTGCACTGAGCTCAATGATGAGTCAGTGCATTCTAGACTGTTAGCCCATGATGCCTTGATTACTGATACTTTCCTGTAGTTATGAAATTATTATGCGACCCGTGACTTTCTGATGGCATTTTGATTTCAGGATCTGAGCTTATCAGCATGCAGGCAGGATGGTGGGGGTTCGGGACAGCCAGGCATTACCTGAGGCTCCACGTCCAGTATTGCAATCAGCCCCTGCTCGTGGATCTTCCGGATGGTCTCCAGCTTTGTCCCGTACATTGCATCCTCATGGCTGCCATACTCCAAGTACTCATTATTAGAGATGTCTTGCATCATTTGGTCATGAGATACAAAGTAATAATTCTTTCCATTTTCTTCATCTTTCTTTGGAGGTCTGGTTGTATCTGCAAAGTAGCATGTCACCAGAGGTTTAAAAGGCTGAGCTGATGAACTTACACTCCCAATGGACTTACCCAAACCCAATCTCTTCTTAAAAGCTGTGGATTCTTTAGTGTATACATTCCCTGTTCCCAACCCCATATTTTTGTAGAACTAAATTCTAGAAACCCTATTTATCTGTGTAAATCAGACCACAACAGCCAGTTAGTTGTTTGGATTGGCAAATCTTTCAGTGGTTAGATGAGATGTATTTCATCCCTTGACAGGCCGCCACAGGAGAAAGACAAGAAAAGACTCAAGATTAACATAACTCATTGTGTGTCCCGATGCAGTTGATCTTGGGCAGAAGAAAAAAAGAATAAAATCATGGAAAACCACATATGGTTATTTAAATAAATTAAAATTAAATAAGATTAAAATTTCAGTTCCCCACTAGCAACATTTTAAGGGTTCAATAGCCACATGTGGTTGACGGTTATTGTACTGGACAGTGCAGATATGGGACACTGTCATTATCATAGAAAGTTCTATTGGATAGTGTTGGTCTATAGGTTCCTGCAAAAGAAGAATGTTAAAATATAGCAAAAGGCACACTATATTGAAAACACGATGATCTTAGTTAGACATGGCTGTAATTATGGAACACCTAAGCCAGGAAGTGGCCAACTGGCTTGTGGGCCAAATATGGCCTGCTGTCTGTTTTTGTAAATTAAGTTTTATTGGAACACAGGCATGCACATTTGTTTGCCTATTGCCTATGGCTGCTTTCATGCTATAATAGCAGAGCTGAAGCGTTGTGACATTCAAAGCCTCAAATGTTTACTGTCTGGTCCTTTACAGAAAAGATTTGCTGATCCCTGATCTAGGCAAGTGTATACTAAAGAATACAATAGTTCCCCCTTATCTGAGGGGATACGCTGCAAGACCCCCAGTGGATGCCTAAAACTGAGAATAGTATTGAACCCTATATATACTGTTTTTTCCTTATACATACATACCTATTATAAAGTTTAATTTCTAAGTTAGGCACAGTAAGAGATTAACAACAATAACTAATAAAATAGAACAATTATAACAATATACTGTAATAAAAGTTACACGAATGTGGTCTCTCTCTCTCAAAATACTGTACTCACCTATTTTCACACTGTGGTTGACTGTGGGTAAATGAAACCATGGAAGGCAAAACTGTGGATAAGGGAGGACTACTGTATGCCCATAAGCCCTAGTTCTGTGGGATACTAAGAGGACCAGTATCCTGCAAAACATACTTTAGGAGATGTTTTTCTAGAAAAGCTACAAACATTGGTTTTAATTTCTTTTTCCCTCTCTCTTTTGTCCCCCTTCCATCCCTCCTTCCTTCCTCTTCTTTTTCTTTTCTCTTTTTCTTCTCTCTCTCTCTCTTTCAATTTACTGCTTTCCTCCTTGCTTCCTTTCTTCCTTGAGCAAGGACAAATTTATTCTACTGTTTTCTGTGTACCTAGGCTCAAACCAATAGGGAACTCCCCCTTTCTTGCTAGATCATTAGAACTGACAAGTGCTCATGGACATCAAAATGGGGACAATTGAAAGAGAAATCCTTTCTTCAGACATATCAAAAGCTGAATAAATGAAATAATATATTGATTTTGTACTACCTTCAGTCACCTCAGTAGTCAAACATATGTTATATACACATCTGGGGTCAAATATTTCAGAGAGTAGACATGATTGAGGTCATCAAAGGTAAGCTTTAAAACCAAGCTAATTAACTGGTCATTTAATAACACAGAAGTTCAACCATTAAGTGATCAAGAAGAAACTAACTGTTAGCCAACCTTGCTGTATTCATGATCTACACATAGGAGAATTAAAAGAACATTTCAAAGTGTTTTAGTAGAAAACCCCAGTAGTACCAACTGGAACGATATCTGATAAACTTGTTTTCTTGTGTAAATCAGACAGGGTTCTGGAATGAAGGTAGTCTTATGAAGCCTCACTGCTCTCTGAGGTGTACAGATAACAGGAAGTTGTGTTGATACTTGCTTCAGGAAGGCATCTGAAGGCCCTACAGGATGGAGCTAATCCTCACATTTTCTCCTCCTGCTTTTAAAAATCATTCTCCTTTAATTCTTCCCACCCCGAACAAAGCTCTAACTGCTAGAGAACTTTTGGGATTGAAATTTTAAACTTTAGAATAATGATGGTAATAATAAAATGATAGTGGTGTGATGGCTTCTACTTATCCACCACCTGCTAAGTGCTTCATACACAAGATCTCAAATCCTCTTTACAAACCTGAAATTATTTCATTTTACAGTTGAGGAAATGAAGAGGGCAAGAAGTTAAGAATAAGATACAGAAAATAAGGGGAATTAAAAATCTTACAGATTTGAAATTTTCTTTTGTGTATGAGAGTTACTGCTTAATGAAATTCTTTATAGTGAACAACCGATAACACATTGACCGGGTTTTATAAATGATAGGAAGTCAACGAGTTAGATACTGATTAAAGGAAATATTGTCATATCAGAGAAAACTACACGACTATGAAAACTTATTTTTCTGAAGAATAATTCATCTAGGTAATGTTTATACTGTTGGAGAAATTAGGTTACATACAGAAAGAATGAGCCTAATTTTATTAAAAAGAAAACAAATAACACACACACACACAATGTATGTCTGCACAAAGAGAAGCGTAGAAGGGTATACAACGAAATACTTACAGCACTTATTACTGGGAGAGTGAGGTTGGGACTACTGTTTACTCATTTTCTTCTTTGTTCTCTTTTGGACTTTACAAATTTCCTACAATGAACTTATTACTTACGTAATCAGCAAAAAAAGTCTGTGAATTACAGTGTTAAAAAAGTGATAGGAAAAATATAATTAAAAGAGATTGAGACTTTGCTTACGTGGAATAGGGTACGCAAACCGGTCCGGATGCTTTGTGATGAGGGTGTTTTTAATGTGTCTTCTCCCAACACCATGTGCACCTATGTCATTTTTTAAAAAGAATGTTAAAATTGACCACTGTTAATAATGTTCACAAAATGTTTTGAAGGTGAGAATAAGCAAGCCACTTATAAAATCAAACTTACCTAATAAGACTAGTGTTTTCCTTTTGAATGCTGGCAGTTTTACTACTTCTTCATATGTGACAAGATCTAATTGATCAAACACTAAAATGCAAAGATTTAGGAGAAAGGTAAATTTACGGAATGAGTATTTCATGTATGTAAATTATAATTTTACTGGCAAAACTAAAGTTATATTAAAACCATGTCTTAAAAAATATGAATCCAACTTATGATGAATGACTTGCATGTAATTTAAGTCACAGCCTTTAGGGAGAAAATTTCATTTTTAAGCCCATGAAAATGCACTTTAGAACCAGGGATATCCAAAGATATGTTGAGTACATGCATAAAAGTCCCATTCTAAAAGATACTGCATATCTTTTCATGCAGTATCCAACAAATCATATGAAGTCATTTAAAACCACATGCCGTTCATATTTTTACAATTCTAAGAAATCAGTAATACTAAAAAAAAATCTACAGATGGTGACCAACATGAATATAGCATGAATGCAACCAAAGTTAACTAAGAGAGGGGCCAGCTGGATCATTTCTAGAGCTGCATGAGAAATGCACGGATAGCTGGTCTCTTACTTCATGGTTCTTTCTCTCAACAGAGCTGATGGAGCTAGCATACTAGATTCTTTTGAAGTCAAGTTCTGTAACTATTTCACAGGCTTTTTAAAGGAGCATCTCAGAAGTTTTACTGTAACCCTGCTAGCCATCTGGTGGAAAGTCATGGGTCTGTAAGAAGGGGCTTCCCTGGGCCTAGAACCTTCTCATCCGTTACGTGGGCAGCCCACATGCAGTCAATCAGGATGCACAGAATGAAAGTCTGAACTTGGAAACCTTTGCAAAAGGGGAGTTCTCTAATCATTACAGACTGAGAAGAACACTTAAAACAGTATTTTTTTGAAACCTGCCTCTTAACAACAGTATTACAAAAACAATTTTGAGAAATGTATGAAACTTTCCTGAGTGGATGACCATTCCTGTTGAAGTTCAATGTGGTCCAATTCTCACATACATTTGAAAATTCTCACAGAAGGCTAAAATCATACACCTATGCTTCCTGTAATAGTTTTTGTGTGGTCATACCCAAATGCTGTCAGTTACACACTAAAGTTTCTATTGTAAAGACTACTGAATACACCCTGGATTTTAGAGGAGTTGGAATGAATTCAATAAAATTGATTCCATGGGGTAATAAAGGAATCTGGGATGCTTAGGTCAACCATTAAGAGAAGCTTCTATGTTCTGAAACAATATGGCTAAATGACTGTGAACATCAGCTCAGTCCTTTACATTTGTAATCTTCCCAGTAGCAAAGAACTTTAAAATACAAAATAAGATATTCTGGAATGCAATAGATCAGAAACAAACACACACAAAGCACCATTCTCAAAATATATTAAAAAATAAATACAATATGTTAAAATAAGGGTTAGTGCATATTAATGGGTATTTGTGCATTTGTTTTCTTTTGATAACTCGATTCCATAAAGGTTGACTAAGAGTCTTTAAAGTGTATTCTCTAGCAACAGCTAAAAACCAAGAACTGTTGTTTTCTGTGTTCAGAACGGTAGACTCAAAAAATTAAAATTAGTAGGAGGCTCTCTGTGGTAGAGCTAGCTGGCTGTACTGCTGTGGTAAGGCAGTGATGAGAGATGCAAGAAGAAAAGCAGAGTGCTTATGGCATTGCTTTTCATACCTTTTGCCCTCTGAGTGATATTTTCATCAAGAAAAGGTATGCTTATGAAAGAGGTGCATCAACAAGCTGATGTTTTAATATATAAAAATAATGAAGCATCTCACAAAAGAGCAAGATGGCGACGCATGCTTTCTGAATGGGACGCTCATCCCTCTCCCTCAACAGAGCCCTAACTCCATCCTACTGAATTAGGACTTGGTTTCTTTTCAACACATGAGAATGAGTTAGATATCAATGACCAACACCACAAACTAACGAACAGATATGTTAAACATCAATATCTTAACCATAAATGATTAGCATGAAGAGGTTACTCTGGTCTAAATGAAATCGCCACATGGTCATAGGGTTGAAAAACAATAAAAAAGGTATTTTAAAATAAGAGATACAAAGAATATTAGGAGAGCACTTAAAGACTGAACTTTAAAGGATTTAAGTTGCTTGCTGATAAAAAAAAAAGAACTTAATAAAAGGAAACCATCAAAAACACAGAGGCATAGTCATTCAACAGGTTACTTACATGCACAGAGGCCATTGGGAGTGAGACAGCATGAAAAATGTACAGGGGTCATTGAAATATGGCTTTTCATATATTAGTAAAATAAAAGTATAATATGCACAAAATAAACTTTATCATGCAATATTCTGAACACAAGGCAAATAAATCACATTAAGAAACAAACTTATTTTAATAAAAATTCAATAATATCCTTATATAAAAGCCAGTGGTTTTTATATACTAGCTTATGCATAGAAATTTTATCTGAGAATAGTTACAAGAAAGCCTCTTCAGAGAGTGTAGGTGTGGAAACCTTTTGCTTTTCACTTGGTACCTTCCTGTACTGTTTGCATTTCTAATCATGTGTGCCTATTACTTTTATTATTATTTTTAAAAAAGGCTAACAGGGCAGTGAGGCTATTGGTTACTTTTTGTTGTCTTTAGAGCTCTTCGTATGCAAGGAAAAAAATAGCTTTTTTAAAGTCAGAAGTACTATTTCGTGCTATTAAGCATAATTTAAACACACCCATGAATGGTACTGTAGAAATCCTCTATGTTCATATGTATGTATGCAAATAGGATATTTCAGGGCTCTAACATAAAAAAAACAAATTAATGAAGACTTCCTAAATTTTTTAAAAGTTTACATTAGTAATTTGATCTAAAAACTGACTTTTGGAAGTCCTGGAGCTGAGTAAACCTAATGCCTCAAGAGTACAGATCTAGTACATGACAATGCTTTTAGCACCAAATGTATGTGGCTAAAAATCTTTTACGTGTTGCAGAAAATGTATTTGCTGTAAACACTACACACCATAATCAAATCTGTTCCCAAGGATTCAGAAATACTGCCTGGCAGAGTTTGCTCATATTACCCTGATTTTCTGGTAAGCTACTCAACATTCCAGACACTTCTTTTGATGGGCATAGGGCCAAGGAGTGTGCACACTTGAATGCCTGCACTGGCAATGCAGCTAATGTGGTTGAATGAAGTGGGCCAGGTGCAAAAACAGGGAGTGGTGGGGACGGTGGGTGAAGGAGAATGAGTGTCCACCCCAAAGGACACCCAGCAGCCCAGACGCTAATAAAGAAAGTGGACCCAGTGTTGCCGCATTCCCTGTTCTTCCAAGGAAAGTCTGAAGCCCAAATTTTTATGTTAAATAGCCTGACTTTCAAATGTGATAACTTATTGTAAACACAGTGTGTGTGTGTGTGTGTGTGTGTGTGTGTGTGTGTGTGTGTGTGTGTGAGAAAAACAAATTTATGGGTCATATTCAGCTAATAGGCTGTCACATTATGATGTGAGACAGGCCACACAGTTTGAACAGAATTCTGCTTTAACTAGATATGTGGAATTTCCTGGTAACAGAAATGGAAATAATTCTAGTATTATCATTCCCATCGGTTCTAGATACTTACAAAGTTCCCATCCTTCATTTACCACAAATATAAACAACCTCAGATTTTAATGATAAGGTTTGGATCTTGCCATCAATATATGAAGTTTCAAAGTTTTGAAGCAGGAAACGAAACATATGGTCCTTATTTCAATTTACTGAATACTATGGGAAGAACAAAGAATATACTGTATTTTACAATCAACTTATGAAAAAGCCAGAAAAATCCTTCAGAAATATAGTTTGACCTGAGCCCGTGAGCCCATCTGGCTAGTACTCAGTGTTAAAGACTATGATACTTCCAAGTTCTCAAAGTATCTGCCTTACCTGGAGGTAAGAACAGTATTTGTTTCTCTCTTTTAGAGCAATTCTTTAACGGGCAATTTCATAGCTAAAAACAGAACAGCTGATAAAATACCTGACTTCCCTTCCTGACAATGTGATCTCCAATAATGTAAAGGTAATCACTAAGCAAATGGTTTTTCTAGACTTTATAACGAAATGGAAGAGATGGTTGAGAAAGTGGAAGACACCTGAAGAGATGGAATGCTTGGCTTTGTCAGGCAATGTATTTCAGAAAGTCCAGGAAAAAAGTTGAATCTTCTCCTGACCAGAGAAACTTAAAGAAGAGCTCGCAAGGGATTCTCTTGTGGGTGAGAACCCTAACAATGACATTCTGATTAGAGAATCCCACGTAAGCCTAAATACAAAGTTCTATAAAGAAACTTAAGTGGCTCTGCAAGGACCTTCTAAGGAGCTCAGAGGTTCTTTCAGAGGAGGGTCTCATACAGTGACAGATAATGACATGCAGAACAATCTCTCAAGCATGACAAGGAAGACTCTGATGCCCAGAAGACCACTGGTTAGGAAAACACTGATGATAACAAAGAAGTGGTGGCAGTAGCTCCCCCTGCCCCTGCCTTTCATTGTTTTAAGTTTATAAGAATGTAGATAGGTCATTGGTTTGGGATAGAGGGGCAATGTCAAATGACAGAGAAAAAGCAATTCTATTCTACCTCATCAGGATCCTGCCTTCTATATCAAGGGTGATACCTTTAAACCATGATAGGCAATGATTACCAGAGAGCTAAAGCTGAGATAAGGGACAGTACAAGAGTACTTGGCCTCATTAAATGACACCCATTTGTCAGGCCCAGTGATGAAAGAGCCTTAGATCCACTGAATTTCAGAATTAGAAAAGATCTTGATTGACTAACCTAATTCCCTTGTTTTGAGGCCCACAGGAGTTAGAGCAACTTGCCCAAGTTGCATGGTTACTCAGGTGTGCTAATTCCTGGTCCTATCTCAGGCTGCCTATTAAGCTTAGGACCTCTGTGCACCACCTATTAGGAATCAGAGAATGGGAACAATGAAAGATCAACGGGGCCCCAGTGGTCAAAGACGGAAAAAAGTGATCTGTGAAACACTGGCTGCCAGATTGGATGCTGATTCTCTGGCAAAATTCCTAAATGAATGACTTGACTGATTCTTTGTCAGCATTTAGAGAGTTCTAGTTTTTTAATCAATTCACTTCTTATTTTTCCTCAGAGCTGAATTAAAGAATATTGTCAAATTGAATCCTTATGTCTACATGCCTTCCATTAGTGGAGTATAAAACTAATGGTGAGCCGACAGCCTTAACTAGCCATTTCTTTGCTTTTCTAGGTTTCAGTGCCATCTATATCTACATATCATTTAATACAGTTGTGAAAATTACAAGGTGAGATATATATGTATACATATTTATTTTATATTTATATAATGTCAACAGATCTTGTGAGCTTGTTTGATTGTGTTAGACTGTTAGAAGCTGACAGAAATAAAGGTGACTAAGAAGGCTTGGCAATAACCGCCGACATTTTGTGTTGAGTAACATTCTGCTGAAACTGCAGTGCACTTCTTCCAATAGTACTACTTGATCATTTATAATGAATAGTTGCTACATTATGTTTAACTACTCCGCTTTAAATATTTCTTCCCTTTATAAAACAAAAAAAGCCACTAAGAGACTAGAGCTCTGTTGTAGCACATAATCAGAAATGATACACTTTATTGGGAATACACTTTATTGGTGCAATGTAACTAATATGAAAGGGAAGACTCCTCATTTAACTAACTCATTTATTTTTTATTTTATTTTATTTTATTTTTATAAAAGATGACCGGTAAGGGGATCTTAACCCTTGACTTGGTGTTGTCAGCACCACGCTCACCCAGTGAGCTAAACCAGCCATTCCTATATGGGATCCGAACCCGGGGCCTTGGTGTTATCAGCACCGCACTCTCCCGAGTGAGCCACGGGCCAGCCCCCATGTTATAACATTCTATAGAGAAAAAACCATTTCATATTTGTAAGGAACATTATACTGTCGAATTGGGTATGCATGATTGGATTCACTTGATTTTTTTTGGCCACATGTTTGATTTTTGGAGTTATTTCTGAAACCTCGGGAACTAATCTGATGCCAATGTCAGGGCTTTCAGTTCTTCAGAAAATGTTCCTTATAAAAGGAGTCATATTAGGAAGTCATTGAAGATAAGTAAATCCCACTGCTTATCACCATGCATTTTTAAAAAAATTTAGGTTACATCCTGTGAGTCTTCTGGGAATTCTACTGCAAAGACAGATCATGATCTTTTTGGTATTCAGTTTTTAAAAGAATAGGTGAACATTTTGACTTATGTTGAATGCAATCTTCCATACAGACAAACATACTACAAAGGGTAGGCCAAGATAATGTTCCTCGTCTTTCAGGAGCTTGGAAATACCATGAGAGAAAAGACTAGTCACAGAAACTGACTAAACCAAGTTAGTACCCATGTCATCTGGTCTCTTTCAAACCAATCACTAAACTCTGATAAGAGTGCACCTTTGCCCTTAGATATCTGTCATGGGGCCATGTCCCAGGGCCAGAGTGGAGCCAAGAGGGAGGGCATCTGCTTAAGACCAATCCCAGCCAAGGAGGTAAGAATCCTGGTGACTCAGCAAACTCTGAAGTTCTCATTTCTCCGAGAGGACTTAACATGTTGGGTTCCTTTAATTATAGAGGATAATGTTTCCAAATCGCATTTTTGTCCTATAAAGTACAGCTCTGTAAAATATCTGGCAAATAACCAACATACTAATTATAGCCAGGGATTTCCTAAAGGTTTTGCAAATTGATAAAGGTCTCATATGATGGAAATGTTTGGATAGAGAACTCTGTGACTGAATTGAAATATTCATCTATTTAGGTCTTGGAGATGTTTAACCCAACCTCAGTAGCAGTTGTGCTTTTCCCTACCTGCATTGTGCTTTGCCAAATATTTATCTTTGTACTGCTTCTTTTTCTTGCCAAACCAAGTACAGCTGGCCTGCTGCTCCTGTTTGGTCTTCTCCATGGCAATGCAAGCTACTCGCCTAGAAGAAAAAGAAAAAGAGAAGAAAAGAAAGGAAGAAGAGAGAGAGAGAGAGAGAGACAGAGACAGACAGAGAGAGAGAGAGAGAGAGAGAAAGAGAGAGAGAGAAAGAGAGAGAGAGAAAGAGAGAGAGAGAAAGAGAGAGAGAGAAAGAGAGAGAGAGAAAGAGAGAGAGAGAAAGAGAGAGAGAGAAAGAGAGAGAGAGAAAGAGAGAGAGAGAAAGAGAGAGAGAGAAAGAGAGAGAGAGAAAGAGAGAGAGAGAAAGAGAGAGAGAGAAAGAGAGAGAGAGAAAGAGAGAGAGAGAAAGAGAGAGAGAGAAAGAGAGAGAGAGAAAGAGAGAGAGAGAAAGAGAGAGAGAGAAAGAGAGAGAGAGAAAGAGAGAGAGAGAAAGAGAGAGAGAGAAAGAGAGAGAGAGAGAGAGAGAGAGAGAAAGAGAGAGAGAGAAAGAGAGAGAGAGAAAGAGAGAGAGAGAGAGAGAATGAAAAAACCCAAAATTAATGCACAGTTTTGGGCTGAAAAGAGAGAAAAATCAGTCATTTGAAGAATTTACGTGAAATAGCATGAAGCTACTCATCGCAACCTTCCAAATCATTCAGATAAAGGCTGTTCTTTGGTTTTCATGACAATTTCCTAGAAATGTTTAAAAAATATGCTCTTATATTAAAATGACATTGTATTCCTTGAGCATACACTAACTGATAACATGGATTAGAAGCCTAAACATGTGGCTGTGAGATACAGTGGAATGATCATGGGATTTTGAGTTAAGACAGGCCTGGTTTAAATCCTGGCTTTGTTACTCATTAGCTGGTACTGAACATCCAGTGTTAGGCACTTTTCTAGGAACTTTACATGTATTAACTCATTTAATTTTTCTAACAACATAAGGAATTGCATTACCACTTTACAGATCAGGAGATCAAAGGCCTGAGAGGTTAAGCAATTTGCCCCAAATCACGCAGCTAGTAAGTGGGAGGGTGGGAAAGGTCTGAGACCAGAGGCCATGATCTTAGCCAGAACATCCTATCAGCAAGGTCTTTAATCTCTCAGAGACCTTCAGATGGCTGTTGTAAAGGATTAGAACAAAAGATGTAAATAATGTCTCTATCACAGTGCCAGACACACAGTAGATGCTTAATAAATGGTACTACTACTACATGTAGATTCTAGGGTAAGATGGCAAAAGTATACTGTGATTAAATTCAGTTATAATCACAATCAGAAAATTATAATTTTGTTCTACTTGATTATAGTATTCAGCATTGGTAACATAAGAAGAGATGTTGTTAAAAAGTTGCTCTCAGGTTTAGTTTAAGCAAATACTTACCTTTCAGGATATTTCAGGTCTTGCTCATCTAATGATTAACGATTACTAATGAGATTGAGCACCTTCACATATGTGCATTGGCCACTGGATTTCCTTTTTTGTAAAGTGTCTTTTCAAGTCTTTTGATCATTTTCTTATTCAGTTGTCTTTTTTTCACTGATTTGTAGGAATTCTTTATATAGTCTGGATATTACACCTTTGTAAGTTATATGTGTTGCAGATATCTTCTACTCTGTGGCTTGCCTTTTTACTCTCTTTATGGTATCTTTTGATGAACTTAGTTTTAATTTAGTCAAATTTATCCATCTTTTCTTTAATGGGAAGTATTTTTGGCATTTTAAAAATTGTGACCAGCAGTCCACCTTGACCAGCTTTGTACCCAGCTTTGTCTCTGAAGATAGTCTCTAATACTACCTTCTCAAAATTTACAGTTTTGAGGCCGGCCCGTGGCTCACTTGGTAGAGTGCGGTGCTGATAACACCAAGGCCACGGGTTCGGATCCTATATAGGGATGGCCGGTTTGCTCACTGGCTGAGCGTGGTGCTGACAACACCAAGCCAAGGGTTGAGATCCCCTTACCGGTCATCTTCTTTAAAAAAAAAAATTTACAGTTTTGTCTTTCAAATTCTGGTATTTAATGTACTTGAACTGATTTTTGCTTATGGTGTGAAGTAGGAGTCCAATTTCTTTTATCTTTCTTTCCCCGCAATGGATACTCAATTGTCCCAGCATGACACTGAAAATCCATTCCTCATTGCTATGCAGTGCTGTTTCTGTCACATATCAAGTGTTCATTTATGTACAAGGGTGTTTTGGGGTTCTCTATTCTCTTCAGTTGGCCTATTTGAGCATCTCTAAACCGATACTTTACTATCTTAATTACCATAGCTTCATAATAAGTCTTGGTATCTGGGGGAGCAAGGCCTCCTTCCTTGTTCTTCAAGAACATTTTGGCTATTTCTGAGCTTGTGCATTTTTATGTAAACTTTAAAATTAGCTTGTCAATTTCAAAACTGTTGGGATTTCGGTTGGAACTGCATTGAATCTATGAAATCAATCTGGGAGGAAGAGACATCTCTACAATATCGAGTCTTCCAGTCTGCGGACACAGTATGTCTCTCCATTTATTTATATCTCCTTTAATGTCCCAATAAATTTTATAATTTATCCTGTAAATGTCTTGAACATCTTTTTTAGATTTGTTCCTAGGTTGTTATTTTAAAAAAAAAGGTTTTGTGAATGGTATTTAAAAAACACTTTGTAATAATGAAAATATCAAACATATACAAGAGTATAGTGTAATGAACTTCAGATATCTACAACCCAGCTTTGACAGTTAATATTCATAGTTTATTTTGTTTTATTTATACCCTACCCACTCTAGGTTATTTTGGAACAAATCCAAGAGTGTATAATTCCTCCTTAAATAGTCTTCAATCCCTTTCAAATCTATAGGTCCCATCTCCTTTCCTCTCTTTTTCTTGCAATTGATTTGTTGCAGAAACTAGTTGTTTGTCCTGTAGTTTCTGTAGTCTAGATTTTTCTGATTGTGTCCCTGTGGTATCTTTAGTATGTCCCTCTGTCCACTGCATTTCCAGCAAATAGGGAATTAATCTAGAGGCCTAATCAGATTGAGGTTCTATTTTTTTGCAAGAATACTTTATAGTATTATGGTATTGCAGGCAGTGTTACGTACGGTATCTTTAAAAAGTTTTATTTTCTGTTTGTGGCTGGTAAATAGGAATAGAATTGATTGTTGTATATTGATTTTGTATCAGCAACCTTGTTAAGCTCTCATTAATTCTAATTGTTTATCTGCAGATTCTTTTGAATTTCTACACATAGAATTATATCATCTGTACCATACAGTATATGTATGTATTGAAACAACATACTGTACCCCACAAATATGTACAAGTAAATGTTAAAATTTTTCAAAAAAGAATCATATCATTTGCAAAATCTTTTCTTTTCCAATAATTTAGCTGTAGGTTTACTGTTGATGTCCTTTATTAGGTTAAGAAAGTTCTCTTCAATTCAGTTTGTAAGTGTTTTAATCATAATTGGATGTTGAATTTCATCAAATGCTTTTTTGGTATCTATTGATATAACGATATAGATTTTCTTCTTTAGTCTGTTAATGTGACAGATCAAGTGGATTGGTTTTCAAAAGTTGAACCAGCAATGAATTCCCAGTACAAACTATACTGGGTCATGACGTATTGTCCTTTTTATATATTGCTGAATTCAATTTGCTAATACTTTGCTGAGGGGTTTTACATTTATGTTCATGACAAATACTGGTATGTAGTTTTCTTTTCTTGAATTGCCTTTATTTAATTTTGGTATCAGGGTAATGCTGGCATCATAAAATGAGTTGGGAAGTGTTCTTTTCTTTTTTCTTAAAGAGATTATCTTCCATTTCTCTTACTCTCTCTTGTTCATTCAAGTTTTTATTTATTTATTTTTGGTTGGGGGAAAGACATTTACTGGGAAATACTGTGAACTCTCAGAGATAGCATCAAAATCAATCTCCATATATTACCTACGTGGCATACAGAGGAGGCTGATGAAGGCTTTGCTTTGGGGATTCTTCTGGTACAAGTCAACATTTGCTCTTAGTCATAACTACAGCTTCTACGAGGCATAGGATCTTTGGAAACATAGTAAAAACTGAGGAATTTTTTGATAGGTTAAAAGAGATAAAATCCTGACATTGTGAAACTTAAGTTACAATGTACAGAGTATCTTATAATAAATGTTTTTAAGCTTAATTAAGACATAAAAATAACAAGTTCCCAGTGAAAATTTATGGTGTGATCACATGTGGTGTTATGAAAGAGGAATAAAACTGATTTTTACCAGCCACTCAGGAAACAAACATTATTTATTTTAGCCCAGTAAGTGCACAGAAACCGTGTTAAGGTTAAGGTAAACCTGGAGGAAAATTTCAAGCACATGTTTGATATTTTATTGATGAGTTGGATGAGGATCGCACAGGCAAAGGAAGAGATGACAGATTCAGTGACCCAAACATATCAAAGGGCTAGACTGATGTGCTTACAGTAATGCATTTGGGTTCCCCCAAAATTGATTTCTTACCTAGACAATGTGAAAAATGTGACTTGGTAGCAATACATTTGGATAAAGCTTCTGGGTCTGGCTGATAGTGTTGTTTCAAATCTCTCTGGTTAGTACTGCATGCCCACTGACATTCTAGAAACCAGTTCAGTTTCCCAACATAGGGAAACTGCTCTTTCCCCTTAGCCAGGAATAGTTTCTTGTACGCCCAAAGTCCTACTCAGGTCCCAAGGCACATACTGCCCAGTAGGCTTCCTCCTCATCATCCTGGTTAGATCCTTTTCTCCCTACAATTTCATCAGTTTTGACACACATATATATCCCATGAAACCATCACCACAATCAAGAAAAACATTTTCATTACCCTGGAATTTCCTCATGCCCTTCCCTCTGTAATCCCTTCCTCTCTCTGCACCCTCCCCAGGGAACCACTGTCACTATAGATTAGTTTCCATTTCCCTGAAGTTTATATAAGCGGAATCATATAGTATGTCCTCTTTTTTGCCTGGATTCTTTTACTCACTGTAACGATTTTGAGTTTTATCCACACTGCTGCATACCTCAATAGTTTATTTCTTTTTATTGCTGAGTGGCATTTCATCATATGGATATACCATAACTTGTTTATCCATTCATGTACTGATAAAACATTAAAAAAATTTTAGCCTTTCTAATTAAGGTGTGTGGCCACTGAGATTTTAATTTTATTACTGTATTTTTTCTTTCCTGGAAGTTCCTTTGGTACTTTTTCAAATTTGCTATGTCATTTAAAATTTTTTTCTGCTTCTTGAAGACATTTTTCAACCTTATTATTGATTTTTAAAAACCTGGTAAGCCTAGTTTTAAAATCCTTGTCTCCTAATTCCCATATATAAAGTGGGTTTGGGTTTGTTTCTGCTGTCTGTCATTTCTGTTGGGTCTCATTTCTTTCCTTGCATGCATGGTGATTTTGACTTGCTGGTCACGGCCCTGGAAAAAGTTTATATGGGGGATTATGATGAGGTTAGGGGGATTAGGATAAAGGTGTTCTCCTTCAGAGGCTTTCTTTTTGTTTACACTGGTATAAACAAACCTGGAACTATTAGTAAAGAAAGGGGAAACTTCAAATCAAATGCATGGCTTGAGTTTCCCTGGCTGCCCCAGGCTATGTGTATCTGGGTACAAAGCTGGTCAAGGTGGACTGCTGGTCACAATTTTCTCAGGGGAAGTATGTTTCTCTTTTACTCTCATCTTTAGCTTTGCTCAGTAACAAAGCAGCCTTCTTTACAGTCCCCTGGCGTGGAAGGGGAGTAAGGGCATGCTTATCTGTTTGCTCTTAGCTTGGGAGTATCGCCTTTTTCATTCTAACAATGTGGGGAGGGTCTTCTTACAGATTCCCCAAGGTGTACAGGCTTTGGGCCTTAACCTTAGTCCTCTGGCAGAGTGTTCAGTAATAACAAATGCCCTCCAGACATAATGGGCCAGTTTGGTACTCCAATATTCTGTTTATCACTCTGATTAAAGGCTTTCATATAAAAATTGGTCGCTGAGCTCCCCAATATCTTTTCAGCTATCCCATGCTTTCAAGGTCATTTAAAAAACATATTTTCTGCAGCACTTTTCATTTTTTCCAGCAGGAGGATTGATCCAAATAACCTAGTCCACCATTATGGGAAACAGGAAGCAAATCTGCTTTTCTCCTGCCATTTCTCAGGTTTCCTCCAGAGGACTTAGAGTCCTAGATAACAGTGAAACATGATTTATATACATGATCTGGCTAGGGAGAAGAGGTCTGGAATCTACATAATTATTTTCAGTAAAAGCTTGTAATATACGGCAGCATTTAAGAAGACATACTGTAAAATGTAAATATTAGTAACAGCATAACAGCATCATTATCAAAACAACTTAGAAATTGCTTTATTCCTGCTTATGCTTAAACTGTTTTCTGAAGATCAGACTGAAAGTCAATACCAGAAGGCTGCTGCTTCTCTGTTTGGGCCCATGTTTCCTCATGTGTAAAATGATGGCATCTGAAATTGTTGTCAGCTCCAACATTCTAAATTTAAGAATATTTTTAGGAAACACGGGATAGCTGAAAGAGCCGATCAAGCAAAAGAGATTAACCGAGAAATCTCTTAATTCGTGAGAAAAGTGGGTGAAAAAGCAGTTAGAAATGTCTATAGACTCAATGTCTTTGGTCTCTTTTAGCTAGGTTTGAGTATTTTGGAAGGGAACTGGCAGAATGCCTAATGGTTGTTACTTTTTGTAACAAGAAACAAAACTCAGACATTAAGTACCTCTTTTGCCCTCGATTTCTAGTGTATTGCCCAAGTACCAACAAAGGTAAGATCATCAACATTTTTCAAAAACATAGTTGAACTAAGGAAATTGTAATAATAGCAGAAATAGATTTTACCAAAATATATAGTGATCTGTGACTCCTCTCAATTAAAAACTGTGTCTAAAAACGTTGTTTGATTTTATCCTTCTTTCATAGCTTAAATTTTCTAACAGAAAGGGCATTTTTAAAGAACTGGCAAGGTAAACTGTGAAGCTTCTGACTGCGCCTTTCTCCTATCAGTGAAACACACTTTATCTTCAAATACCCTGAGTGACACTGAATCATGGTATTTGAGTTTTTTGCTAATGGTGGGGTGGGATGGGTGTAAAAACATGCAGAGGGTAAGGAGAAGGTAGATTTTTAAAAAATGCCATTCTAAAAGGATTGCAACGGCATATAGGAGAGGAGAGCTCTGCTGCGCGACTACACATGACCTAAGATTAGTCACACAACCTCTCTCCAAATCTTCCTTATCTTAGATATAAACTGAAAACCTGACTCTCTAACTAGTATCTCACTAGATGCCGAGTCTTGAATAACTAATTTGAATTTTCTCTGGCTAATAAAGCAAAGGAATACATCAAATACTCTAAAACAATAATGTAAAGTTGAAAAATGGATGGGCAGGGCTTCATTTTTATTATAAAGCAAAGCAAAACAACAAATACATACCATTCCTGAAGCTCAGGAGAAGGAATGAGACCTGCAGTTCCATTTTTGGAGTTTTCCAGTTTACCCTGCCACCAATTGTGATCATCCTTACTAATAATCTGGATGATGTCACCGACTCTGAATCGAATGCCAGCTTCTTTGCAGGGTATGAGGTCATCCTTGGCTGGATCATATTCAAATTGTGCTCTTACATAGATCTATAAAACAGGAGTTTGTAAGAAGGGATGCCACAGTGATGTGAAAGAAAACAGTTAGCTCTAATCTAATATCCACACACGAACACTTACAATATAAACAGGACATCAGATGGTGAAAGCAAAAATGATACATGGAAATACAACACAAAAAACTTCTACCACTAGAAACAATGTACTATCTTTGATGTGTACAGTTTCAAAAGTTTGCTGCTTTTATTTAGAGGGAATACTTAAAATACTTATTTAATAAAAATAAAGACAATTTATGCTTTTACTATAACAGAATAGGCCTATAATTATAGAGAAGTATGCTTACCATTTTTTAAATCTGTATTGGTTATGTTGATGTTATGGATAAGTTGTCATGACCATGTGGCAGCCTTTAAGCCATAAATATTAGCAGTCAGGGTATGCTGAAATCCTAAAGCAGCACATGATATAAAACTAGCAAGAACTCTGGGTTGGTATCTTGCTGTAAAATTCCTACATGACAACTGGCAGTGTGTCTGTACATAGCTGATAAATGTAATTCAAACAATTTTTAAAATACTTTAGAAAAAGTTTTATTTTTTAAAAAAGGATTTAGGCTTTATGTTTGTATTTTACTATTCTGAAAGTATAAAAATGAATTTGAACCCTACTGAACCCTACCTTTGCCAGTATAACACTTGAAATCAGCACAGAGCTTCACATAGTTCAAGGCTCTGAGTTTTATGGAATGTGAATTTATTTAGGAAACAGATTAGCATATAAGGGGTTATCATATGGCAGTATTTTATTAATTACCAGATTTCTAAATGCTTTAAAATAAAGTACTATACATTCAATGCATCAATTATGCAGTCTTTTTTTTTTTTGGCAGCTGGTTGGTATGGTGTTATAACCACTCGACGTTGGTGTTATAACACTGCGCTCTAACCAACTGAGCTAACTGGACAGCCCCATTATGCATCTTAAGACTAAACTGTAAGTAAATTCTATCAGGTGCTAATTTATGCAAATCTTAATGCCAAATCTGATTATTTTTTAACAGCACATTTCAAGAAAAAAAATCCCATAAAAATTCTATCTTGAAATTAAAATTGAATATTAATGTTTAAGTCACTGTAAAACCAACCTGAAGGCTTTGGAACCATTGTGTGATACTTCTGTTTATTTTCAGCAATCCAGCCTATAAAATTAACAAGTCTCTGCATTTGCCCCTAAAATCCATACCTTTAAAGTGCTGGCAATTTGAAAGTTATTTGCTAGTGTTAGGCAGCACTTAACTTTTCATGTTTGAACTAACACGGGCATATCAATATATAAAGCCAGGACTTTATGCTCTTTTTCTTATTTCTCATTGTAAATAGCTTTTCGAAATACACATGCAAATACAAATTTAAGAAAAAGCTTTCAACTTCAGAAAATTATTACTTAAAAATGTTCATCACTATGTACTTTTTAGTTATTCCTAGAATTCTAAAAATTTTGTAACCTTTAAAATTCTTTCCCCCCCAAGAGGCAGGCCCATAAGATCACTAAAGGCTGAATTCATAACCATCAACACAAAATTATCAGGTTGAAATTACAATAACCATCACAGCTACAAAGATGTGAGGAGAAAATCTTTATAGAGAATTAGTCATGTGTAATGTGTTAAAATGAAATGGTACAAGCTCTTAATGCTCAAATGTTATGGTCCAAAATGCAGACATTATGGGATGGAAAGGGTTAATAAAGGATTGGCTATTAGCAGCTCAGTTTAGAGAAGTTTCTATAGAGGATATCTATTCACCTGTCGTCCTTTTGGTTGGGTAGTTGATGGCAAGTCCTGTAGAATAAAGCCAACCCAGGAGAAAAATTTTCATTTACTTTTCAAGAGTACAAGGTAATTTGTGTGTTCTGTTACAATATGGTTAAAAAAAATGAGCTAGATTTAAATTGTAAAGCGATAATATACATTATTCCATTTTTCAGAAATGTTGAGTTATCAAAAAATCAAACCCAGGCCATTTAGCAGCAAGCTGAAGGAAGCAGGTAAGTTTAAGCAGAGAGAAAATGTGTTCTTAACAACTCAGCATCTTCAACACAAAAGCCACTGCGAGTGAAATAGCCTACTAAAAAACAAAACAAAACAAAACAACCCAAAACTAAAAAGAGCTGTTGCCCTTTTCAACTTATTCACTGAAACCATTTAGATTTTGAAAAATTCAATGGCTATATGGATTTTCACCATCTTAGTATTAAATGTTTAACTGTTATAAATTCCTTTTGTAGCCTATTTTAAGGTTGAAAATGAAGTCAAACAATTTTCTTCCATAATTTCACTTACTGATATACTTATCTGAGATGATCTTTAAATTATTTACAATTTTATCTGATAAAAAAGTTGATATATTTTTAAAGGGCAAATTAAAAGTCAGGAAAAAAGCAATACTGCTGCATTATTAGAAATCCCAATAACTTCAACTGGGTGATAAACAGCAGTATTAGCTAACTTAGGGAGGATTTGGTTACCCCCAAAAACCTGCACCTAATAAGTGCTTCCATTTGTTTAAATAAATAAAAACCAATTCTTTCTATCTTCCAAAATGGATAATTCTGAAAAAATGCAAAATTCCAAGTTCGAGTTAAATTTAAAGTACTTTGTGTTAAAGATGTGATAATAGCGTGGCTTAAGTGCAGTTTGAAGCCAGTTCCTTTTGCTTTTCATATCCAGGCAAGGCTTATAATTCACAAAAATATGTGCACGTACCACAATAACAGAGGGCACACCAATTCGTAAACTTAGATAGCGGAAACTAAAACGTTGCTGATATCACTCAGAATAGAAAACTACAAAGCCCAAGAATACCCAAATACCTGCTCTGCAAACTCCTTATATTTCTTTATCTTTCTCAAATTAAAAAAATGTTTAGAAATTTAAACAAATTTCTGTTTACATCCTTTGCATAGGTTTGAGCAAAGTCATATATTCTAGTGGGGGTGGCATAGAAATATTTTTGTACTATATTTCTTAAAATTTAACTAATAAATGGGATTTCTAATGAGAAGAAAATATTGAAAAAGATTTTCTAGGAGTAAACTGTGTTGTAGCTGTAGTAGCCTTGTATACTGGCAGAAGACAATATTTCCACTGAACACATGTAACTAGAACATTCATGGCAGGTGAGCACCAACAAATTGTCACACTTTGCTGTGTGGAGCTAGAGTTCTTACCGAAACAGAATTGTTAGTGCTGCTATGACCATTAGCTGGGGACTGTCTGGAAGTGGAGGGGGAATCTCTCTGAAATAAGACACAAGGTTCATTAACACAGAACACCAGCACAGAAACAGAGATATTTACATCAACAGTTACAACCACAGTCTGACAACCATTTCCTTTGAGGTTTGAACTGTAAAGGTGTCATACTGGCTTACTTGCGTGATTTCACAGAAGTATGAAAAAAATTTTGCAGTTTGAAGATTCACATATTGTAAGTGATGACCGTGTCATTCATTAATCATTTCTTTCCTCTCTCCAACATTCTAAAAGAAACCTCTGCTTTCTTTTAATGAGACCCAGAAGACTGACTTGATATTAAAACCCTATCAAGTATCATAAGATGACAAATATTACTAGAAAAGCATTGTGCTGAAGATCCCAACTGCCTAATTTTAATTAAAGATTAGATTTGAAAAGCATTTAATAATCGTTAGTTACCTCAGTGTCAAGAATTACAGAATGACTCAATTTGAAGAGAAATAAAACTAAGAAAAAGACTTCATATGTTTTAATCATCTTAGAATCTTTCTAGAATAAATATTACTAATAAGAGTAAAAGAGATATATACCAGAGAAGAACTTTTTTCTTTAGATCACTTTAACAGATTGATTAAAACGATAATCTCGAGCTTATAACAATATTATACATCTGGCAAAGATCCCAGGAGCCACACCACTCTCTCTATATCCACGCTCCTTGATCACACTCTCTCTACTATTCAACACGCCCCAAATCCTTTCCAGCCTCCATTCCCTTGGTGTCCAAACCAACTTTAATGATAAGAACAAGGAGAGGAAGAGAATAAGTACTTTTTAGTTTTGGGTTTAGTAGAGTTCTTTTAAGCTTCTGAAATGTGCCTGTCTGCTCAAAAGACATTTGTTTTTTCTAGAAGATTTAAAGAAATTTTCTGGAACTTGTTAGTCTTAAAGGCAATGGGACCCCTTGGAGGAGAATTCCTCAAATGTTAGTGAGCAGATTGAGCTCTAGGTGCCAACCCTCAGAGGCTCAGGTCAGTATGGCCAGGTGAGGAGCAGGAGTCCACTCTTTTACCAAGGGCCTACGGGATAAGATGCAAATGGCCAGAGAGCCCTTCTCTGGAAGTATTGCCCTAGTTGGGAAGAGTCGCACCATAGGCTGGAATTCTGCCAAGGCATTGTAGGCTTGAAAAGGTTGGGGGTGGGGCCAGGAGGGGAGTATCATTATTTTTTCCACTATTCCAAGGTGAGGAAGGTAATAGGGAGGTTCTTCTTCCTCAAGAGCATAGAATTTAAATGTATAATACTGGTCCTACCCCAAAACTAGTTCAACCACTTAAAAAACAAAAGGGAAACTTATGTTATATTAATAACTAACACTACCTTCTGGTTACTCAATTGTATTTACTACATTTCTTTAACAGATGAGAAATGGTATGAGGAACACCTGTGATTTTAGAATATTAAAATTATTTACATATGTGCATGTGACATTCTCTCTTTCCTAGCAAGGTTTGGGCTCTAGGTAACAAACTTCAATACTCTGAATCCTGGTGCAGAAGCAGTTCCGTGTTTTCTTTTGAACTATCCTATTAATTGAAGTTCCATAAGAAGCCACCAAGAGGAGCTCAAGACCTGATATAATGGGCACCCCAACTGTAATGGTTTACTAAAAATACACTTGACAAAAACTATAAATTCTTATACACATCTTCAACAGGTTTAGGAAAAAATACAAAGCCTTTGGTTTTTCTTGTGAAATTTATACCATCACTAGAGACTGGAAGAAGTATTATAATTTCTCCCTCAAATTCTCCTAAGTAAAAATTCAATAAGTTACCAGTCTTAAAAATGAACTTTAGAAAATGTGTACTTCATATTGATGTACACATACTTGGAAGATGCACATGAAAGAACAAGCTTTGGTAAATAATACCCAAGCTGAATGTGCAATGATCAAAGAATGATACCATTTATGCCAGTTCATATTTCCAAATATAAAAAGAATAGATTTTTTTTCCTACACAGAATCAGGCAGAAGGAATAGATTTTTGAATCTCATTTAATAACCAACATAAAACTGAAAAATACAGGTTGGAAGAACTATGATTTTTATAGGGTAAAACTATTTTAAGAAAGAAACTTTGGGGTTGTATTACTTTAGAAAACTTATTTGTTTATGAATCACATAACATTCCAAATTTAAACAATTTTACGAAAAGTTGCAAAAGCCTATATCCCTCCAGTAAAGTCAGTTATCAATTAATCATGGACTTTACATCCATCTAGAGACCTGTCACAATTATTTGAACTGTCTCAACAGAAACAGATCACTTCTCAGATTCATGGAAAGAAGAACTATGTGATTTCTTGACAAGGGAAGTGAATGTACTTCCTGGAAACATTACTGCAATTATGATCTTTATTTTTTTTCCTGTGAGACTCCATTTTTTCCTTATTAAGTCTTATGTCATTACTTGTAGCTTCTCTATATTTTGCTTAGGTTTCAGCCTGCAAAAGTTCAAGTGCTGAGGAGATCCACATGGAAGCAGGGCTGAGTAGGTAGATGGGACCTACTCTGTTCCGTTATCTTTGTTGTAAAATTGGTGTGCAGTGATCTAACAGCACAGGCAGAAACAATTTCCCAGAAAGCAAAAACATTCAGCCATCAGCAGACAGTTAGTTAAGAACTCAGAGGAGATGGGGGTGGTTTGTTAGAGTCATTACCTCACAGGACGAAGACTGAGTGCGGTAACTTGGCACGATCTTGAAGGTAATACTCCCCCGCATTTCCCTCTGAAGATAAAAAAAAGGAAAGCTCTCTTACAAACAAATGTTGCACACAAAAACATGTAAGAAACCACTCTAAATGTGGGGGCAATTAGCACAAGCCATCTGACATCATGTAGTCCTAAAATGAAACCTAGTTATAAAGCAGGGACTGCTCACGTTAACAGTAGAAGAAATTTCTGGGAAAAGCCCAGAAAAGTCAAGGCTGATTGCCTTGGTCATATAAAAATAGTCTCAGACATCTCTGATGGTTATCTTTTTATAGACATGAATACAAAATACTCTTGAGTAACATGCCTTTCAAAAATGAATATAAATTGAACTAGACAATAGACTGATTACATAAAAATTATATTTAGTATGCTACATTATGATTGTGAGCTCCATAGAATTTGCTTTTTATTTATTAACTTTGGCTTTATTTTTTACTGTGGTGAGTCTATGGTGCTTATTTCATACTTACTAGGTATTTACAACATGGGAGGCTGCTACATTGCAGTGGGAATGTTTGAATGAGAGGTCCAAACCATCTCCCTCTGCTCACTATGACAATGAATGTAGGCAAGGGCCTGTCATTCTGCTGTGGTTTTTTAAACCCAGAGCTGATTTTGAACACAGATTTTGGATATGCATGGTCAAAGATGGCCTGGTCTACCATGACTTTCCTCCCCTCTGTGCTGTAGACAAATCCGCTACAGCTGGCTGTGACTTAGCTAAGCAAGAAAGAGCCTTCTGACACTGCTGATGTAAGAAGAGTTGAGGTCAATGAGAAACTAGTTCACATGTACACACACTGGAAAGGTTTTCTTTAAACCTCTGCTGGGTAAGAAACAGGAGATAAAGGGTGAGAGTGTTAAAGCCCACACTGCTAAAGACAGGCAAAATGTTTCCAAACTCTATAGCATGTATACATTTTCCCAGTTGTCAGGTTTTGCGAATATTGTAAGTTCAAATCCACACAACTGATGGTACCAGAAATACTCTGATTACAAAAGAATACACATTATTTGCATATTAAAAAACAAGCTAATACACTGAAAGTCAATCTCAGAAAAATAGCAACTTTCATTTACTTACAAGCATTTTTTGCAGCTGTTCCACTGTTTGGTTAGCCACACTAATGCCATTGATTTCTCGGATTTCATCACCAACATGAAGTGTACCTAAGAAATTACACAAAATTATAAACATGAAATGATATATGCTTTTATAATAATAAAATCAAAAGGCAGCAATGTAATTTTTTAAAATTAAGTTCAGTATTGAAGGCCAATATTTCAGAACAGGTACAAGTTTGGCTGCAGCAGAATTATTTAACTCACACGGTAAACTCACCAAAACAGATACATCTACTTGGGGAAGGCACAGTTTTGATGGACAGCTGTGGAAATCTATTTTTCTGAGAGAGGTGGTTGTATAGTGGTTTAAAAGTATAGCTTCTGGATCCAGACTATCTGGGTCTGAATCCCAGCTTCCTCATTTACTAGCTTTAAAAGCTTGGATAAGTTACTGAAACTCTCCATGCCTCAGTTTTCACATTTATAAAATGGAGATGAAAATAGTACCCACCCGACAGGACTGTTTTGAGGACTAAATTAATTTATATGTGTAGAGGGCTTAGAACTGTTCTTGACAAATAGTGAGCATCATGTGTTTGCCACTATTATTATCTACTAAATATGATAAAATGGTGGTCGATCTCCCAAGAATTTTGATATAATAATCTCTACGTAACATTAAATGTATATTAAACATAATTTAATCTTTTTATAATACTTTGGTATGCATTTCAGCATCCTGTGATACTTCAACTGGAAAAAGTAACCAAGAAACAATGCTTAAATAGTGTTATTTATAATTTTGCTTCCTTATTTACAAATTGTGCATGTTTACATACTGACCTGGCTTTGTTACAAAGAGCTCACAGTATCTTTTAGAGGTACATACTAAGATGTGTATGAATAAAATGATAAGACGCTTGGGATTTACTTCAAAATAATCTGGGGGGTGGACAGTAGGGCAAATACACACAAAACTAGTGTGGCCATGACTTAATGACAATTATAGGTGGGTTATGGATAGTGATCACTGCTCTGCTCTTTACTTTTCTCTACTTGAACTCACTGCACTGTTTTTTCTACTTATATTTAAAAATTAACGTAATAAAAAACAAAACAAAATTTTGGGGTACTTCTGTCAACACACAGCTGATTAGGCAAAGACTTTCTCACAATTATATTCTGCCTACAGAAACCTTTTCAAGTGTTACTGGTCTCATGAAAGGAGTACAAATCTCTAAGAACACTTCCCACTTTCATCCCCACCTTCTCCTCACACAAAAGAACCCCATGAGCTGGATCAAAGTGGTGGCCCAACTAAGGGTGGAGTGAACTAGTAGGAAGAGTGAATGCCAGAGTAGCCATACCTGCTAGCTGGATTCTGAGCCTAAGGCCAATACCAAGTTAGAGAATCTGAGCCTAGGATTCTGTAGGAAGCCAAGACCTAGGTCAGTGGCATCCCATGGCAACTGGTAGAACAAGGAACAAGCCTTCTTTGGAGGAAAGTGTTCTCAGTTTAGGCCCACATGACTTTCACTGATTAGAACAAGCAAAGAGCTCACAATCAAACATCAGTGAACATACAATAAGGCAAGCTACATGTGAGAGTCATCAAAAACAGCACAGACAGATTTATACCATCAAGGATGATAAACACTGAAATGGTCAGATACAGAATGTAAAATAGCTATATGTTATGTTAGAAAAAAAATGACTCAATTGCAAGGATGAACATGCAACAAGAGACTTTCAGATGTGAGCAGACAGATCTGAAAATAAAAACAATTGAGTAAGACTTTTTTTTTTTGTCCTTTTTGAGTCCGGCCGCACCGCGCTCAGCCAGTGAGCGCACCGGCCATCCCTATATAGGATCCGAACTTGTGGCAGGAGCGCTGCTGCGCTCCCAGCGCCGCACTCTCCCAAGTGTGCCATGGGCTCGGCCCAAATGAGTAAGACTTTTAAAAAAGAAAAATATAACTGGTGAAATAAGCTGATGAATGAATGAGTTAAACAGGAGTTCAGATATGGCTGGAGAGTTTCAGTGAATTGGATGATATAACCAAAAAAGTGATCTAGAATGTAGGGCAGACAGCATCAACCTGATAGCAAAACTAGACAAAGATACAACAACAAAAAAATACATGCCAATACTCTGATGAACACAGATGCAAAAATCCTCAACATAATATTAGCAAATAGAATACAGAAACACGTCAACAAAATTATACACCACAATCAGGTGGGATTCATCCCAGGGATGCAAGTCAATAAATGTGATACACCACATCAACAAAATCAAGGAAGAAAACCATATGATTATCTCAATAGACATAGAAAAAGCATTTGACAAAATTCAACATCCCTTAATGCTACTCTCAGCAAATTAGGTACAGAAGGAAAGTATCTCAACACAATAAGAGCCATATATGACAAACCAACTGCCAATATCATCAGGAACAGGGAAAAGTTGAAAGCTTTTCCCTTAAAAACAGGAACAAGACAAGGATGCCCACTCTCACCACTCCCAGTTAGCATAAGTATTGGAAGTACTAGCCAGAGCAATCAGGTAAGAGAAAGAAATAAAGGGCATCGAGATTGGAAAACACAAAGTTAAATTGTCCCTGTTTGCAGATGACGTGATCCTACATATAGAACAGCCTAAAGACTACAAAAAAACTCTTACATAAACAATTTCAATAAAGTTGCAGTATACAAAATCAACATGCAAAAGTTGGTAGCAGTTTTTTACTCCAACAATGAACTAGCAGAAAAAGAAGAAAGCTAGCCCATTTACAATAGTCACCAAAAAACCAAAATATTTAGGAATCAATCTAACCAAGGAGGTGAAAGATCTCTACAATGAGAACTACAAATCACTGTTGAAAGAAATTAAAGAATGTACAAAAATATGGAAAGACATTCCATGCTCTTGGATTGGAAGAATTAACTTTGTGAAAATGTCCATTCTACCCAAAGCGATCTACAGATTCAATGCAATTCCCATCAAAATACCAATGACATGCTTCACAGAAATAGAAAAAACAATCCTAACACTCATACAGAACAACAAAAGACCCTGAATAACCAAAGCAATCCTGAGCAAAAAAAATAAAAGCCAGAAGCATAACGCTACCTGACTTCAAACTACACTTCAAAGCTATAGTAACGAAAACAGCATGGTACTGGCATAAAAACAGACACTCGGACCAATGGAACAGAATAGAGAACCCAGAAATCAACCCACAAACTTACAGACAACTGATCTTTGACAATGGCACCAAGAACATACGTTGGAGAAAAGATGGCCTCTTCAGTAAATGGTGCTGGGAAACACAGACATACATATTTAGAAGAATGAAACTAGACCTGTACCTCTCACCATATACCAAAAATCAACTCAAAATGGGTCAAAAACTTAAATATAAGACCTAAAACTATAAAACTCCTAAAAGAAAACATAGGCGAAACACTTCAGGAAGTAGGACTGGGCAAAGACTTTATGAATATGACCCCCAAAGCAGAGGCAACAAAAGGAAAAATAAACAAATGGGATTATATCAAACTCAAAGCTTCTGCACAGCAAGAAACAACAGATTGAAAAGATGACCTACAGAATGGGAGAAAATATTTGCAAAATATGCATCTGACAAAGGATTAGTATCCAGAATATACAAGAAACTCAAACAACTTAATAGTAAAAAAAAAAAAAAATAGCCTGATTAAAAAATGGGCAAAAAAAGAGCTAAATAGGCATTTCTCAAAGGAAGATATACGAACGGCCAAGAGACATATGAAAAAATGCTCAACATCACTCAGCATTCGGGAAATGCAAATCAAAACCACACTGAGATACCATCTCACCCCAGTTAGGATGGCTAATATCCAAAAGACTCTGAATGATAAATGCTGTCGATATTGCGGAGAAAAAGGAACTCTCATACACTATTGGTGGGACTGCAAAATGGTGTAGCCTCTATGGAAAATGGTATGGAAGTTCCTCAAACAATTGCAGATAGATCTACCATATGACCCAGCTATCCCACTGCTGGGAATATACCTAGAGGAATGGAAATCATAAAGTTGAAGGTATACCTGTTCTCCAATGTTCATTGCAGCACTCTTTACAATAGCTAAGAGTTGGAACCAGACCAAATGTCCATCATCAGATGAATGGATACGGAAAATGTGCTATATCTACACAGAGAAGACATAACAATTACAATTCCTTGAATTTGATACGACAAGCGAACAGATATGAGGTTGTTGGGAGGGAGAGGGGACAGGGAGGAGGGAGGGAGGTTTTGGTAATGGGCCACAATAATCAACCACATTGTATATTGACAAAATAAAATTAAATTTTAAAAAATAGGTAAAGGAGTTGAATAGGCATTTCTCAAAGGAAGATATACAAATGGCCAAGAAACACATGAAAAATGCTCAACATCACTCAGCATCAGGGAAATGCAAATCAAAACCACTTTGAGATATCATCTCACCCCAGTTAGACTGGCTACTGTCAAAAAGACAAAGAACAATAAATGCTGGTGAGGATGTGGAGAAAGGGGAACCTTCCTACACTGTTGGTGGGACTGTAAAATGGTGCAGCCATTATGGAAAACAGTATGGTGGTTTCTCAAACAACTACAGATCGAACTGCCATATGATCCAGCAATTAAACTGCTGGGAATATACCCAAAGGAATGGAAATCATCATACTGAATGAATGCTTGCACTCCCATGTTATTGCAGTTCTATTTACAATCGTCAAGAGTTGGAACCAACCTAAATGTCCATTGATGGATGACTGGATAAGGAAAATGTGGTATATACACAGTGGAATACTATTCTGCCGTAAAAAGAATGAAATTCTGCCATTCATAGCAGCATGGATGAGCTCGGAGAAAATTACGTTAAGTGAAACAAGCCAGGCACAGAAACAGAAATATCACATATCCTCACTCATAAATGGGAGCTAAAAAATAAATATATAAATAAAAGAAAGAAAGTTAAAAAGAAATACAACAATCACAATAATATGTTGAACTTTCAAAAGGAAAACTGAGGGTAGCAGAGGTAGGAAAGTGGGGGGGGGGCAAGGGAGGAATTGGTAAAGGACCATGAAAAACGATGACATTGTATATTGTTGAATATACTAATTATCCTGATTTGAGCATCAAATACTGCACACAAGTATTGATATTCAACTCTGTACCCCCACAGATATGTACAATCCACTATGTTACAATAAAAATAAAAATTTAAAAAATAGAATGTAGGCCAGAGAAATAAGGAAATAAAGAAAATAGAAAACAAGAAGTAAAGATGAAACAAATATTAAGAGATATGGGAAGAAGGTCTAATGTATATCTAACTGGAGTTCAGATAGAGAGGATAGAGAGAACAGAGAAGAGGCAATGTTTGAAAGAATAATAATTGCAAATTTTCTTGAACTGATGAAAACATGGTTACACCGATCTAGAAAGAATAGTACCCCAAACAGAATAAATAAAAAGAAATCTACGCTGAGAAGTAGTAAAACTGCAGACTATCAAAGACCAAGATCGTAAAATATCCAGAGAGAAAGGACAGATCACCTACAAAGCAAGAACAATTATAGTGACATCAGATTTCTCAATATCAAACAATGCTCTCCCAAGGATTGTCTGAGATGCAAGGAATGGTGGGCAGATAAAATGATAAACATTTTTACAAATCTAAATAAAAATGGCCACACATACACATATATATTTTGGCTGACTGGTACAGGGATTGAACCCCAAACCATATATTTTAATGTTGATTTCGAAGTGGTGAATTAACATAGGATAGAAATAGAACACTGGCAAGATGAGTATGCAAGTCAGGAGTATGACCAAATTTAGTGTTCCAATGTCTTTGTATTGTTTGGGGGTGGGATCAAGATACTGTTTAAGTTTAGTATACACAAAGTTGAATATGCATGATAAAATTTCAAGGTAACCACTAAAAGAACAGGAATAGGGTGTTGAAATTCTAAACACCAATGGGGTAAAAAAATCGAACAGAAAAAAAAAAGAAAAAGGAAAATCAGTTAAAAATGAAATAAATATAAATAAAAAAGCAATATGATAGAAATCATCCCAATTTGGACTAACATATTAAAAGACAGAGATCATCAGAGTACATTAAAAAATGAAAAACCCAGCTTTGGAAATGTTTGACAGAGATACCTAAAGCATACAGGCACAGAATGATTGGAAATAAAAGGATGGTAGAAGACATGCTAGCAAATACTAAAATAAAGCTGGAATTATTATATTAATGCTAGATGAAACAGGCTTAAAGTAGAAAGTATTGTTAAGGATAGAAATGGTCACTAGGCACTTGTTTGTACCTAACAAAACGGCTTCAAATAGATAAACCAAAATTGAGAGATCTATAAGTAGAAATTGAAAAACTCTACCATGATAATGGGATTTTTCAACAATTATTGATAGGTCAAACAGACATAAAATCAGTCAAGATAGAGAAGATTTGAACCAAAAATGTAACAATCCCAAGCCAGTAATCATATAGGGAACTCTGCGTGCAACGATTAAAGAATAAACATTCTTCATAAATACACAAAGCCCATTTACAAAAATGATTAAAAAAAAAGTGCTATGCCATAAAGCAAGTCTCAACAAACTTCAAAGAAATGGTGTCATACAGACCACATTCTCTGACCACAACACAATTAAGTTAGAAGCAAGTTACAAAAAATTATACAGAAAAACCCCTTAAATGTGGAGCATAAAAAACACTTAAATAACTGATGGGTTAATGAAAAATACCATAATAGAAATGAGAAAATACTTAGAACTAAATTACAATAAAAATGCTTGATATAAAAATGGATGGGATAGAGATAAAACAGTATTTAGAGGGAGATTTAGAATTTAGTCTTTTTTTTCCGGGGAGGGTGGGGGGAGGCAGCTAGCTGGTACGGGGAGTCAAACTCTTGACCTCGGTGTTATAACACTTCATTCTAGCCAAGTAAGCTAGCCACCCAGCCCAGATATTAGACTTAAATGCATATATTAGAAAAGAAGAAAAACTAGAAATAAATGAACTACATGTCTAATTTAAAAAGTTAGCCCAAACCAACAGAAAGTAGAAGGAAGAAGATGATAAAAATTAGGTGGTAAAGCGGTGATATAGAAAATAAACATACAATGCAGAGGATAAACAAAACCCAAAGTGGGTTTTTGAACAAACCTCTGGCAAGGTTGATCAAGAGGAAAAAAGAGAAGGCACAAATAAACAATATTAGGAATGGAAAGGAGACATAATTATAGAGATGGCAGAGAATAAAAAGGAAGAGTATACTATGAAGAAGTTTCTGCAATAATATTAAAAAACTTAGATTTTTTAGGAAAATGTAATTTACCAAAACTCACTGAAGAAACAGAAAGCTTGGATGGCCTTATGAACGTTAAAGAAACTGAAGCAGTTGTAAGAAACAAATATAAAACTTTCCTTAAAAAACTAGAACCACTAGGCCCTGATACTTTCATAGGCAAGTTCTACCAAACGTTCAAGGTACAAATCATTCCAATATTATACAAAGTCTTTCAGAGAATGGATGAAGAGGGAATGCTCTTCAAATCATTCTGTGAAGCCAATGTAACCTTGCAACAAAAATCAGACAGAGAAATAGAAGAAAGGAAATTAAGTACAGGCCAATCTCATTCATAAAATACAAATACCAAAATCTTAAACAAAACATTAGCACACAGAATCGAGCTGTACATAAAAAAGATGATACACAATGACTAGACTGGGTTTATCTGAGAAAGTCAAGGGTGGTTTATCATTAGGAAATCTTTAAAAGTCATTCACCACATTAATAGATAAAATGAAAAAAAGAAACAACCAACCAACAAATGATCTCAGCAGACGCAGAGAAAGCATTTGATAAAATCCAAAACTCAATCATAACTGAAATGCTCAGCAGCAGAATATAAGGGAATTTCCTTAGCCCTAATAAAAGGTATGTTGCAAAAATCTACAGTAAACATTATTCTTAATGGAGGAACATTGAAAAGATTCCTTCTAAAAACAAAAATAGGACAAAGATGTCTATCTACTATATCACTTGTATTGAAGACTGCAGGTCCTAGACAGTGCAGTAATATAACAAAGAGTTTAAAGAAATAACGATGTGACTTTACTGAATATATAGCAAATTATTAAAAATAACAAACAAAAACTACATACGAGAATGTAAAACTGAACCTCATCTTGTGTGAGTGCTGTACACTCTCTATGCCTATAAAGATTCCCCTGAAAGCAGCAATGATGCCAGCCATCTTGTGTACATAGTGGTTGTCCCTAAAGAGAATCACTACAAATGCGTAGGGTGTCACTTCTTGGTCTCTGGGGTAAGGAAAGAGCCGTTAAGTGCAAAAATAACCCTGTCTCAAAGAAAGGGAATCAGCCAGGAGAATCATTTTTTGTTTTTTTTGGCAGCCAGCTGCTATGGGGATCTGAACCTGTGACCTCGGTATTACCAGATCCACATTCTCCCAAGTAAATATCTTTTGAATACTAGTACAGATAACAATCCTTTCAAAGAGATGTCTAAATTTGCATGTCCAAATCCTGCCCATCCTTGATAGTTAATTGAAGTTCCACTTTATCAAAAATCACTCTTCGTTGACTTCAGTCCTTAGTAAATTCCCTCCTCAGAATGACTGCACTTACTCTAGCAGGTATTAAGAATTTAATCATCAATTTGACATCTCTTATTTTACTATTTAATTTTTGTATTATTATTTATCTAACTCTGTGATGTCCTAAATGAATGAGAGAGCAATTCTTAAACTATTATTGAACTTTATATATGAGTGTACTTCAAAAAATTTGTAGAAAAATGGAATTAAAAGATAATATAAATCTTTCCAGGAACTTTTTAAAGTACCCTCATATATATATTGTATTTTGAGACCTGATGTGATATTTTGCTTTATCTCCCATGGTCTCTAATAAGTCACTATCTAACAGTGATCCAGAGATGCTCCAGCCAACAGGACTCTAATATATCCTCCCTTCATTATCTACATGCTAGAGCAGGTACAGGTGAATAAGAATGAGTGGAGGCCAACAGTGATTAAAACCATAGATAATGCAAACAGATATTTTATATGGATCATAAAAACTTTCTTCACTAGGTTACAGGAAGAAAAGGAAGGCAAAGAAAGAATTATATATGAAACTTACCTTGCCTGTGAATCATGCCCCCATGCATAATTCTTGCAACAATACAATGATTTAGTTCATTCATTTTTAAAGTGATTCCCTGTTTAAAAAAGAAAAAAGTTCAGTAAAAGTAGAATCACTACGAGAACACTTCTTTTTAAACTTGTGATTTTGCTGTAGATGATTTTAATTACAAAAGTTACATAAAGAAAATAAGGAAAAATCGCTCCATGACAAAAATGCTATTTTTGGTATTTTGATCGCTGTAATAATAGTATGCATACATTTTATACAGTGCTTTTTAATTTTCTAATTATAATGATTTTTTGCATGTTGCTTTATTTTTCATGTTGCCAATTATTTTAAAAATTTTTTTTATTGATGTATAATTGAGACACATATTTAAGTGTACAATTTGATAAGTTTGACATATGTATGCACATGTGAAACTATCACCACAATCAGGATAGTGAGTATATCTATCATCCACCAAAGTTGCTTCATGCCAATTGGTATATCCCCAAGTAACCACTGACATGCTTTGGCTGATGATAAGCGAGTTTGCATTGTCTGTAAATGGAATCAGACAGTGTGTACTCTTTTTGTTGCATTTTTTTTTATTCAGCTAATTATTCTGAGATTCCATCATGTTGTTGCATTTATCAATAGTTCATGTTTTGTTCTTGCTGAGTAGTATTCAATTGTATGGACATACCAGTTTATTTATCCATTCACCCACTGAATTGTTTCCAGTGTTTGGCTATTATAAGTAAAGCTGTATTCCTGAGTTAATCCCCATTTGGTTATAACATATTGTTTTTTTTTAAGATATGGAACACTTTAGGCTTTTGTGCATCATCCTTATACAGAAGCCATAATATTATTTTCTGTATTGTTTATATTTTAGTATACGTGCTACTGACGTGAGCACATATTAACCTTTCCATATATTGTTGGATCTGTATTTTTAACAAGCTCTTTTGGTGAAAAGTGGCCTTGAATTTGAGACGGTTAAGGGTAGGGACTCTGTCTTGCCTTCTTCATTGAAGAACAACACACTGTCAGAAAGCTTCATGAAAATATCTGAGACCTCACATTCTAACTTAATTTGCACCATTCCACAAAATATGACTTTGCACGGTTCCTATTTTGTAGTTCCCCGAAGTGGTAGTTGAGCAATGTGAAAAACTGGTTTATCAAAATGTTTCTAGTCCCAACATTCAATTGTAATGTTCAAGTTTCATTTGTAACTTGTACATTCAATCAGCATGTATGGTTACCAAGAGAAGTGTTCCTGGAAAAATGTAAATTAATGTGTAAGTAAAATCTGATTTCATAAGGAAAATGATAGTACAATGGAGGTTCCACCCTTGAAACTAATAGATTTACATATTCATTCAACCAACCTTAACATAAACCTGCTGTGAGGCTGGCACTCTGCTGGGCACAGTAGTGAATGGGACAGACAGGGTATCTCATGGTTCACCTCAAACCAACTGGAGTTACCATTTATTATTCTGTCTGCTCCAAACATTTCTCTGTAGAGAGGAATTGACTCATATACTCTCTGTTCCCAAGTTCACAAATTCCAGGGAAGGGATTAGTCCAATTTGGGTTAGGTGCTTATTCCTGAACCTAGCAGCTTGAGGGGGGCATTGGGGGGTGTGTACTCCTGGCCTTTCTTTGTTTACATAAGTCTTTCCCCCTATTGTGTAAACTAGTTCAAGTTTGGTCTTTGTCACTTGCAACTATGAGAGTCCCACTCAGTAGAGAAATAATTACAAGTACAATGTTACAAACAGGAAAACACAGGGTGTAATGGTAGTATATCACTCTTGGGGAATGGACACATTGCAGAGGGTCCAAAAAGCAAAAGAGATAATATAGGAGTATTTGCACAGTAATATGATGCTTTGAATAAGATAACTAAACAAGCAAATAAAGTGGTATTAAACGTAATACAGAATTATACTCTATTATTAAAAAAATTTTATATTTTACATAAAATAATTCCTGTTTTCATGGTAACCAGTCAAAAGGAGAAGAAATATACACCTTTGCTAGGATCACAGGAGATAGGAGAGAAGGGATTTAAGGGAGACTTTTAGGGGAGACTCAAGGCTATTTTATGCTGTCTGACAAAGTAACCTGGGGATGTAGTTTTATGCTTTTACTCAGTTTATGCTTCTGTATAGTCAACCTTCATACAAAAGATCAAGTAACCGTCACTGGGCTGCTTCAGAACATGAATATCACAAGACACTTTGGGCCTCCTTCTTGTGGTCCCTTTCATCTTCCTGTCTGCTTTGCTTGGCTGAACATCACCCCTTATTCCTGCCTCTCTGACAAAGTCTTCTCTCCTCTCTAGCTCTGTCATAACTGGGTTTGTGAAACAAACTGTGCTAAGCTGCAAATTTACTTGCTTAATACAGCCAGCCCTGTGGAAAGGGAGCTCCAGGCAGGGGCTGTGTCTTGTCTGCTACTACATCACCGGCATCTAATACACTGATCTACACAGAGTAGGGACTCAACAAACATTTGCTGAATGAGTGAATGAACATTTAAATGAATGGAACATGAGACTTTCAGAGGTAGGTGGGCTCTTGGGGATCATTTAGTCAAGAATGCTTTTAGAGATGAGCAAACTGAGGTCCACTGACATGAAGTGATTTGCTCAAGGCACCCAAAGGCTGCTGCCACTATGCTGTTAAGCCAGAGTTGCCCAGAGAGCATCAGAAAAGGTGAGGTGATCTGCATGCCCCCTGCTGGCTGCAAGATGATATCATATGACTGGCAAAGAACAGCAAATGAGAATTATAGCCAGAAATGTCTAGAGGTAAGGGCTCTCTGGAAATCGTGATCATAGAATCACTGCTCTGTAACTCTTTAATCTGGAAGGCAACTGGGCAACTTTCTTAAGTAGGTAATTTGTTTTTCTATTTCCTAATATCCCTTTTCTATGTTTTGAGGAAAAGAGTTTGAAGATTTTTTTCCCTTAAAGATATGATTCCTCCTCCAAACTTGGAACTTATCCAATGTTGCCTGTCTCAATGTCCCTGCCTCATTGTCCATTTAGTTGTACAAACCAAAAGCTTAAGGGTCATCCCTGATCCTTGCCTCTCAGTCCCCATTGTTAATTCATTATTATCACTAGGATCAAGGGTTTGGATTCTCGTACCAGCCAGCCACCAAAAAGAAAAAGGTAAAGAAAAAAACCCAAGCTAACAACTAACCAGCAGTGTGACATTCAATTTAATTCAGGAAATATTTAGTATTTACGGCTAGCTGGTTGGCTTAGTTGATTAGAGCATTGTGTTATAGCACCAAGGTCAAAGGGTTTTGTATCCCTGTACCGGCCAGCCACCTAAAACATAGAAATAAAAAAGCCAGTTGGGAATTAGGACTCCCTATAATGGGGTCCCTATACCTAGACAGTGGTTCACAGGAAATTGCTTTACAGTTTGCCTAAAACAAAGTAAGTTAATAGGTATAATTTTTGTAAAGCTAGGGCTTACAGACCCCTTGAGTCTGTTGCACAGATTGGGTTACAAACCCTCTACACGCAGGTCTGTGAGGTAGGTAATAGAAAAAAAAGTTTCTGGGAGCCATAGGTATAGAAAAATGAACGGGTTTTTTGGGGGGGGGGGGACCAGTAAGGAGATCGTAACCCTTGGCTTGGTGTCGCCCGCACTGTGCTCAGGCAGTGAGTGCACCGGCTATCCCTATGTAGGATATGAACCCGTGGCCTCGGCGCTACCAGCACCGCACTCTCCCGAGTGAGCCACGCAGCCGGCCCGAATAGGTTTTTATTAATTCATTATTAAGGCTTACTGATTTTACTTTTTCATTATTTCTCAACTCTGTTCACTTTTTTTCATCTTGACATCCAGTCCCCTAGTTCAGAGTTCCATCATCTCTTCTTTGTACTACTGCAATAACAGCCTCTTAACTGGCCTACCTATATCTACTCTTGTCCTTCTAACACATTCTCCAGAGTGATATTTCTAAAATGATCTTCCTCCTTAGTATAGTGGTGAGAAAAAAAAGGTATAAAAATAAATAAATGAAATGAAAACCTGATCTTATCTCCCTGCTTAAAACCATTCAATAGACTCCCCCTGTTTTTAAGATAAAGAACAGAATGCTTAACACTTGCATGGGCCTGTTCCAGCCACTCACCTTGCTGTCTGCAGTCCAGCCACAGTGCCTTCTTTCCATTCCGAAACAATGCTGAGAGTCTTTTCACTACCAGGTTTCTGCACAGTGATATTTGGCTTGCCTGAATTGTGCTCTCCCCCACCCCCCAGCTCTGTTCAGTTAACATCAAGGAGCCTTTCCTTGATCTTCTCAATCTACAAGAATTCTATGAGAATGAGGCAGGATTCAGCATTGATTCTATTCCAACTCTATTCCTTAGTAGAAAATTAATTCATATTAAGTAGGTAGATGTAAATAAAAAGAATTTTATTTCAGCAAAGTAACTCAATTCTTTGAATGTCTTTTGAATTAGTCTTCCTCTAATTTTGTTGAATGCAAAAGACCTGGAAACCACCAGATTTCCAGATTTTTAGACACTCCCTTTCTTAATACCAATACCAATATTTCAAATCATCCCTTTCTTTGCTGCCCCAGAGGTTTTTACACTCTGGAGTAATGTATAAGCATCCTGCTTTTTTTGTTTTTGTAAAGATGAAGAGCAATTATGAAAGGAGAGGTGAGAAGGAGAACCGGCATGCCTAAGACATGGTGTCGGGCAGAACAATTCTAGGAAAAAAGGGCAGGGGGAATTGAAGATCTGGAAACCAGTTTATTTAAAACTATCCATGTCTTCCTTTTCTCCCCACCTCCTAGTAGTATAGGCTGATGTTAGCTGATCTAACTCATGCTGGGATTTCATGAGAGTATAGGAAACTTTCTTTTCCTACTTACCATTGGTTCATCTGTGTTCTTTTGGAACTGTACCAGACGAACTCTGGTCACATTCTCCATATCCATGTCTCCGTTAGCGCTTTCTGGAGAATCGCCGTTTAAATAGGGAGAGGTGGGAGGTGGTGTAACCCTCAATGCTTCATCACTGTAAACTTCATGTGCCACTACGTCGTGAGTCTGAAGTAAGGCCTAGTATTTTACAAAAAGCAAAATATGAATAACACTACTATTCTAGCAGAAATTTATTATATAGACATATATAGAATTATTCTTTGCTCTCAAAGATATCGCTCATCTAAAGAGAACTCGGGGCCGGCCCGGTGGCGCACAGCTACAGTGCGCTGCTTGGGAGCGCGGCGGCGCTCCCGCCGAGGGTTCGGATCCCACATACAGACAGGCCGCTCACTGGCTGAGCGAGGTGTGGGCGCGACACTGAGGGTTGCGATCCGTTGCCGGACACGAAAAAAAAAAAGAGAACTCAAAGTGCATTATAATTACATACAATCATAACTTAATTTGTGACAAATAATCATGATAAATTAGTTTTTAAAAAAATGAATGAATGAATGAGTGAATCAATAAATGTTTTTGTTGAATACCAGGGTTAGAGGTGTTATCTGATGCTATGAAAACATACTCAACTAACTTCAAACAAAGGCTGACACAGTGCAATTCCAAATAATTTAGCAGAAAGCAAACTTGTGCTTGGGCTTAAAATTGAAACAGATTTAAAAAGAAATAATACAATAATTGGTGTACTGAACAAATATCTTTCATGGCTAGCATTTATTTTTTATTTTATTTTATTTTATTTTATTTTTTTCCTTTTTGTCTTTTTTACTGACTGGTAACGGGATCGCAACCCTCGGTGTCGCACCCGTACCAGGGACCGGCAACGGGATCGCAACCCTTGGTGTTGCGCCCCACACCGCGCTCAACCAGTGAGCGGGAACCGGTCTCCACGTGGGATCCGAACCCTCGGCGGGAGCGCCGCCACACTCCCAAGCGGAGCACTCTCCAGTGCGCCACCTGGCTGGCCCCATGGCTAGCATTTATAATAACATTTTTATATAACCTAAAGGATGAAGATAATTTATAACATATGATTTAGTAAAAGAAATAAAAACACACACAAATGTAACTAAAAAGATGTAATTTTTCAAAATATCACATATACTATGGAACTTGAAATCTAAATCTATTTAATGTTTTTGTTCATTTCTATTTTTTGGAGCACTTGCCTAAATGAAAAATAAATTGACCATTATTAATATGACTTTTTTTTGCAAAGCCCACTAACAAAGAAAAAGTGATTTCTTTGTAGTGATATCTGTATATGTCATCTTGGTCAACTTGGATAATAAATGTCTCTTGTCTCCCTAAAAAAGGATATCCTTCCACTTACTACATTTTTTGTGTCATCACAAAAAACACTTTTTAATAAGCATGAATATCTGAACATTTCTATCTCAAAGAGAATTTACAGCTGAGTATCAGTATGTTTGGCATTTCATACAGATTGTATTTTCTTGTGTGATAACTATAAATTTAGTTCTATTTTAATCTGTGATCTGTGTGGTAATGAAATATCTGCAGATAATGAAATGCAATTAAAATTGCTTTAAAAGTATAACCTTTAATACCTGAAATTGAGTTATTTAATTAAAAGGCTTATCAAAGTTATCACTTGGCTATTTTAATTTTAAAGGCATGCATATGAGGCAAAAGTAAGGTAACAATGTGGTAAAATCAGAAGGAAGATGGTGCTGATTTGTCATCAGTAGAGAAAATGCCTTGAGCATATATACATTTGGGTTTCTAATGGTAATGGCAAATATTTTGATGATCTCAGATGGCTTGTATAAAGCGGGGTTTGGGTGAGGGGTACCAAAGACACTAAGCAATACAGAGCTTGAAAGTAGGGCTCCATAATGGTCCTGACGACCTTGGCTTCCTCATCAGCGCCCTGACTGTACCATGTACTCGTGGCTCCTGAGCCTAAGTGTGGAGGTTTTGCTATGGGGGTAGATCCCTCTTTTTCTGGTTTAATCGTGGCCACTTAAGAAACTAAGATTTAGGGCAGAAGGCAAAAAACAGTAATAGGCAAACTGGAAACCTTGATATGATGAACGTGATTTTAGCAGATGAAGTTTAGACGTGTCTTCCATAATTTGTACCTTTTAAAAAACACGCTTTGTATGACTGAAAGATGTTTATAGTCAGGTAAGCAGACAGCCAAGCTTTCATCAGGATAATTCCAGTCTTTGAAGTTTACATGGGCTGGAGAAAATGTTTATGCTGCTTTTTTCAAATGATTTCTATTCATCCTTTTAAATTATATAAGCAAACACTTTTATTTAATGTATTATTTGTAAGGAAAGATAAGCCCACAGTCATAAAATAATACCCAAATTGAACTTTAAGAGAAAAATCCTCAAATTATATCACCAAATAAGGTCATACTTATTATTAAACACTTATTTGCCACTGTAAAAGATTACCAGAAAATAATACTTAACAACTAAAGCTCTAATTCATATACAAACAGAAAAAGAGGGCCACTTACAAATTGCTTTCAAAAAAAGCTTAAAAAAGAATATGTAAATAAAAAATAGGGAAATCAAAGTTTGAACATTTTTCTTCAAATATGTTATGACATATAATTGAGCAACGGTTACTAAGCTGAAATAGCTGTTAATTTAACTACGTAAGAAGAATCATGTAATAGGAAAGAAGCACTTTCACTGTTTATACTATATTAAGGATATGTACAAGACAACTAACAACTTCAGACTACAGTGAAAAAATCTGACTACTTTAAAATGAATAGGAAAAATGTGAATTTTAGGTTTGAAAAGTGGTTCATCTGACTTTTTAATTACAAACCACAAAATTTACCATTTAATAATGAAGCTTTCATGATGACCCAAACTGATTTTAACCATCTTGTTTTTGGAAAAGCAGGATGGAAACTTTGTTTTAAAAATCTTCTGTTCCAGGCCGGCCCAGTGGCGCACTCGGTAGTGCGGCGCTTGGGAGTGTGGCGGCACTCCCGCCGAGGGTTCAGATCCCATATAGAGACTGGTCCGCTCACTGGTTGAGCGCGGTACGGGCGCGACACCGAGGGTTGCGATCCCATTGCCGGTCGCGGTATGGGCACGACACTGAGAGTTGTGATCCCGTTACCGGTCACGAAAAAAAAAAAAATCTTCTGTTCCAGATACTATTTCTTAAAGAAAAAAGTAAAGCATTATATTTCTATCCTGCTAATACATAAAGAATTTCCTTATCTTTAATGTTTCATTTTTCTTTTTGGTGGCTGTCTGGTTAATGTTTCATATTTTATAACTGCAATTAGCAAAGGAACAGTTCTTTTAAAAAAATCAGTCTTTCAAATTCTAGAAAGGAATTAGTAAGATAATATTTTTTATCATGACCTCTAAAGATAGAGCACAGATTTAAAAAATCATTTAAATCTACCCTTATTTAGTATAGTAAATTCCCTTTAATTACTGTAAAAATTTACAAGTATCTGTAAATTTTAAGTGTAATTCAATGTTAAATCCTCATGTTATAATGATCAGAAAGCAAAGAAAAATCCAGATAATTGAGCAAATAGGAGTGACATTATAAATATGGAAAGAATAACTCCCAAACTTTGGTATAATAAAACAATCATAAGCATTAAAATATTTCCCTTTAGCTATTAATATTTCTTTAAAAATACCAAGATTCTGAAGCCATGCTTTTTAAAATGCTCATGAGATAGAAAGCTCCAGAATTTTGGGCCGGCCCGGTGGCGCACTGCTACAGTGCGCCGCTTGGGAGCGCGGTGGCGCTCCCGCCGAGGGTTTGGATCCCACATACAGACCGGTTCCTGCTCACTGGCTGAGCGAGGTGTGGG